AGGCTTATCCATGTTTGACAGATCAATTGGTATGCAATAACACCACAAAACAAACTCACTAACAGAAGAGTAAGATTACAAGATAAAGGCAGATAATTCAGGCATGACTGATTTCAACAAAATTTTGGAATATAAGGATTCAGATATAACTCACCTGAGGGATAAAATAAGCTCAGGTTCAGGGCCAAGTGCATAAGCCCAAACAGCCTCCCAGTCAATAGATTTGTCAACTTTATTAGCATCTCTTCCATCAAACTGCACTTGCATTTGATGAATATTCTGTAATGCCTTATCAAGCACAGTTGAAAGGAGATGCAATGACAGGGACCGTTGTCCTGGAATCTGAAACCACCAAAGAGCATATGGTAAAACAAGATAACAGAAATCAGGAGGAAGAGCTACAAGATTTCGGACATGATATACCAGAGACCCATGAACACAAGATACTATCCAAAACTTTATTTCACAACTACAGAAATCAAGAATATAAACTGACCACACTCCTAGTGAGTGACACTGCTTCTTTGATGGTATAGCCAGCAGCACCAGGATCCCCCTCAGTACGCAGGAAGTCACGCTCAGAAACATTACCTGTAACATGGAAGAAATAATTAACCGAAAGCCTATTGAGATACATGTTATCTTTTTAAAAAGTAACATCATTAATGCAGTTGCACTTCCCAGACAGCAAAAATTACCGATGCTATTAATTTCATTGTAAAAGAAAATTTAACTACAGAATTAAGTCCCAGACTTTTAGAGAAAATAGAACAGTAAATATAGCAAAGACACAAGAGTGATATCCATAATGTCTTGTGAAATAGAACAAAAAGAAAAGGTTAGCTTCTGCCCAAAGATTATATAAACGAGTAATATAACTTACTACTCTTAGGTATCTGGTGGAAACCATTAAAAATAACAGTCCCATCCAAGGAAAATCTTAATTCCCTAGCAGCCTCGACTCTCTCCCTCCAAGCAGTCCACAAACTTCCACTCGCTTGGCCTGAGTTCTGCTCCAACCCATTCTCTTCCGCAGTCTTTGTATGGTTTGAGGTAATTGTTGTGTCCACATGAGACATGCCACTTTCAGAGCTAGGGGAAAATTTTGGTTCATTGTTATCCGAACGGGGGCTTCTTTGCTTCCTCAATTTCTCTTCACCCCTCCTTTTGAGCACATTGAGCAGCGCAGGGTCCAGCCTTCCCATGATCTCAGCCTGTGCTTCAGCAATCTCATCCGCTGACATTCCTTGCAATCGAGCACGGTTCTCTTCATCAATCTGAGTCTCAAGCGACATGGACACTTGTTCATTTTCAACATTATCAGCAAGGGACTTTGGACTTGGGCCCGCTTGAATTTTCATGTCATTCTTACCCAATAGAAATTCTTGTTCAGTCAAGTTGCCCAACACAGATTCTTGTTCAGTCTTCAAGTTGCCCAACAGAGGCTTTGGCTGGGGATGCAATTTATTTGAGCCATTCTTTCTAGTACTAGCTTCCATTGTTTCCCTAACTGTTCTAGTCCTATTCACACCAAGCTCCTTCTCTGCCCACTTGCTAAAGTCCATTTCTTTTTTCTTCTTCCTCTCTACTGGGTTGGCATAAGGCTTTATGGGTTCAAAGTTCATAACATCATCACCGCCATCACCATAATCCACACCCTCATTACCGCCCAAATTACGATTCACCGGATTTCGATACTGTAGCATCAACCAAAACCAGTCACAAATTCATGTACAAATTTACCATTTTTCTCAAATATTCACTAAACCATTTGACAGTAGCGACCAAATTATCAGCTTGCTAGGGCTTACCGGGAGGGCGGAGCGGTGGCGAGCAACAGGGAAAGGAAGAACGGTGGGCCGAGGCGGTGGAGTGGGGCCCAACATTGACTTATCGGAAATACCTTTCTCGACTATGCCGCCGATTAAACTCGAAGCATCGCCCTCGCTTAACTGAAGCGCGTCGGTCCCGACTATCACCTTCGTCTTCCTCTTCATCTCGCCTGGACTGCTTGCTTTGCTGCTTTGCTTCTTCTCCATAACTACGAGCTTCACTCTGAATGAACTTTCAGAAAGTAGGGCTTGGACATTTGGGCGGGCTCAATTTAATATATACCAGAGTCCAGAACCAGCCAACAAGAAGTACCGAAAACGACGCCGCTTGGCTCATTTAAAATTAGACTAAACGACGATGCCACGTGACGTTTTATACCACTGTGGTCCCCACTAGTTCCTTTGGCGTTTCTCATTTCTTCTGATTTTCCAATAGCTGTATCTTCAACTTTCTCGCCAATTTTCCCGTACTTTCCCGGGAAAGTGAAGTGAAATCCATGGCCGATTGGTCTCAACTCCCCAAGGAGCTCCTAGAGGAGATCGCTAAGCGCCTAGAGAGCCCCTTCTATCTGCCCCGTTTCCGATCCGTTTGCTCCTCATGGCGATCTTCAGTCTCTTCCAGACCTCGCCGTTTACCAGGTCGGTTTCCGTTCCTCACAAACCATGGCATCTGCGACACCACCTTAGGTTTCCACCTCTCGCAGCGCACCGTATTCCTCATGGGGTTGCCTAATTTCCGCAACCAAACAAACCCAGATCGCTGGCTGGTCAAGATCGAAGAAGACGTGCCGGGGAGAATGCATTTGCTGAACCCACTCTCCCGGTTTCAACTGAATCCTCTGCCTGAATCTTTCCCAAAGGTATTGGATTTATCCAAGTTTTGGGTTTTTGAGTTGGGTGGAGAATATGTTCTTCACTATGTGCATTTTAGGCCTTTTGGTAATGGTAACTCTTTTGGTGATGCTGGCAATTTGTACATGGAAAAGGTAGTTTTTATGTGTTTGGGTTCCGAAAGCAATGATTTTGTGTTGCTTACCATTCATGTGTCTGGGAAATTAGCTATGTTTAAGTCTGAGGATAAGAGGTGGACTATAATTCATGATATGCCTTCGCCTTATGATGATGTTATACTGTTTAAAGGACAATTTTATGCCGTTGATGGCACCGGACGTACTGTGATCGTCGGTTTGCACTCAAATCTGAGTGTGGTTGCAAATCCTGTGTTTGGTGGTGATAAGAAGTTCTTGGTTGAGTCAAGTGGTGAATTGTTGGTGGTTGATATGTATTTGAGCATGGCTCCCGAAACCGATTTGGATGTTGATGATGAAATCATCCAATTGCAATTCAATGGCTGTTTGACTGAAAGAACAGTTAGGTTCAAGGTTTTTAAGTTGGATAGAGAGGGGAAGAGATTGGTCGAAATGAAAAGCTTGGGGGATAGGGTGTTGTTTTTGGGGGATGATTGCACCTTTTCTGCCTCGGCTTCAGAGTTATCTGGTTGTAAAGGGAATTGTATATTTTTTACAGATAATTTCTTCTATACGAGTGGTGAAGACGAAGGCGTGTTCAAGGGCCGTGATATAGGTGTGTTTGACTTGGATGATGGTAGTATTGCACCTTTATCTGATTATCCAGAGTATTCAAAGCTGTTTTGGCCACCCCCTGACTGGATTGCACCAACACAAGTAAGTTTAGTCTTTTTGCATTTGGAATTTTGCTTTGTGTTCTTTCTCATTCTATGTTGTGTTTGCACTGCTCAATGCTATCAGTCTTGCCAAGTTCTGATAGGTGTATTTGATAATTGTTAAAAAATCATATCTGGCCCTGCCACCTTGATGCCAATTTCTGATAGGTTCTAATTTAAATCTAGTACCAATGCCACCTTGATGATCATTTTCCGTTGCCAAGACATTCGTACTTAATTAGTGCATGGTGCTGTAGGCAGTATATTGTTCTGATAAATCCCCAATTTTCTAGATATCAGTTTTGCCTTTTAGGTTACTGAGTATTTTTGTCGCTATAACTTATTCAGATTTTTTAAGATCTCTGGGCCTTGGCTTAAAGGCTTTGACAACATAATGTTGTACCATTGTTGGTTTAAATCCCTGATTTGAAAGAATTATACTAGCAGCTGACTGATATTGAAATCTCTAAGTTTGATTGCTGGTCCTCCTGATGTTGCAGCAAAATAATTAGCAGGCTCATAGTGAATATATTTTGATTGGATTGATTGTCGATTACAAGTGCTACCCTAGCTGGTATTCCTGCCATTTGAATTCAGATTTTCATCATCAGTATCCAAATCGATTTTTAATCAACATAATGAAGGAATGCAAATGCTGATTTAGTGAATGCAACAGGTGCAAAGTCAGTTCGAAGAATTGGCTTTGTGAGATGGAGATGGATTGTGGAAAATCAGTGCACAACTTTGTAATAACCCGTTAATGCATTTGAAATCCAAGACGTTTCAAGTTTAAATCTTTTATATAGTAAAGTGCAAGGCGAAAGCACAGTTCACGCCCTGCGGCTTTGGCATCAACAAGTTCAGGTGACCTAGCCAACCTTTGCAAGCAAATCAAGTGGATCAAAGTTGCCATAGACATGAGGCTCTTTATGAGCCAAGGATATTTTACTACTTTCTGTAAGCACCTAAACCTGGAAGTGGAGTTGTTAAGAGGCAGCCAATTCCTTGTTAACTGAAAAAAAAATTTAAAAAAAATGACAGTAACACTTTTTTTATTTTCTTAAATTATGAAATATTGTATGTACCACGTACTTTATTTGCTTGTAAATTACTGAATTATCAGTGTTTTTGGAAACACATCTATCTTGTTCTTTTGCTTTTCTTAAATTACTTAACTTGAACACTTCAGCTGCTTTTTTTTTTCTTTTTTTTACTGATTACCATGGAGTATTATGATAGTTTTGGCCAGTAGAAACCTGGAGATGAGAAATGGACCATATTTTCAAGACCCTTATTCATATCTTGACATGATTCTCTTTGATGCGAAGTTACTAATCAGTCCAGAACAATTGCTTGAACACTAGCTGCTTGTCAATCTGGTAGCAGAGACCCAATCAAAAGTTGTGTCTACGGTACGGTAGCTAAATGGTAAAACGGGAAATTTAGAACCAGCATGAAATTAAATAGTCTTTTTACTCTTCATCTACTACCTGATCAAAACTATGGACCAACCTATTTCTATTGCTAATAAAGACTATACAATATTAGATATCGACAGCACCAAGGATCCAAGGCTCTGCAACTTCTGTTGTTATATGGACCTACTTCAACTTAAAACTGAGCTAACATTTTTAAGTCAATCTCGCTCCGGAGCGTCCCCGGTTGTTCTTCTAGAGCTTAGGCTTCCAGCATATGACCACACCCTCTCAAAATCAGCTGCCAGTAATTTCTCTGTCTTCTCGTCTAGTACCTCTTTTCGAATGCTGCGCTTTACGCACAGGGGTGTCCTTCCTGGACTACCAACAACTGGAGTGGAGGAACAGAAAGTCGGAGTTGCTAGTGGAGAGCCATAAGGAGTGTGTTGAATGGAGAAGGGGCTGGGCGACATCCTCTTCTGGATAGGAAGGCCACCCAAACCTCCCCTGTTGAAAATAGACATTGATTCTGCTGCAGCACATCGCTTAGTAGCATCATCAACGAAGAGGACATCATCTATCCTTGCCATTATGTTAAAGGCCAGACTCTCCATAACCCTCGAGTAGCTTTCCAGAATTGACTGCCCCACGTCCTGCAAAATTAACAAAAAAAATTCCTTCAGAATTATCTTTGGAAGATTTGTTGTTCTAAATATCCTAATACAGAAGATAACGCAGTAACCACACGGTGCATCTGTCCTTAGGACAGTCTCAGACATAAAATGATAGGATCAAATAACTCGTAATGTGCCACAATGTATTCAAACAGTCTCCAAGTTTACAAAACCAAGGAATTCAACAAATTTGATAAACCAGTGTATTCAAAGTAATAATAAAAAAAATTAATCTTAAGTAGTATGACATATTTCACAAATCCCAAGTTCAGGTGACCGTATTCTAACATAACATACAGTGAAATGTACCTTATTGTATTGTATTTTGTTCATATCTAGTGCAGTTTGTGGGAGGCCAGGGAAACGATGCCTTAGGCTGTGTAAGAGGGTCTCTGCTCGTTGGGCCAGAAAATGATTTTTTTCAGTATCAGAGACAAGTCCCTTGACCTTGCCACCCCAAGATGCACGTTTAGCTTTCTGATGATTATTGTGTTTTTTCTGGTCTTTCTGCTTCCAAACATGCACAGCTGCCTCAATCCTATTGGCTATTTCTAGAGTTTGATGTTCTGATGACAAGTCCAGGCAATCAAGAAGATGCTCGGGTGAAAACTGGTCTGCAGTTATGTAACGATAAATGATATCACCCAGACAAGCTTTCCCACTCTGTCATGAAATGGAAAACAAATGGTGTCATAAGAAATTTAAAATCAACCAAATGAAAATTGGATGTTGAACAATAATTCCTGAATATTTATTGATATTTAGCATCTATTTATGCTCTCATTACGAAAAAAATAAATAAAATGAATGGCACTGAAATATAAACTCACATTTGTATCACCTCTTAATTAGGAAAGGATATTAACACTCGCACAACATGATATTACTCTTAAATATAAGAGGGAATTAAAAAAAATTGATGTTGATAGTCGTAATCTAGTTATCATATGTGTCAAATCATGAAAAGAGATGTAGAAACCCAAACCTTAGGCAATGACTCCATGTAAGCTCTCGGGATTTCCATCTCAGCAAGCACACTACTATTAATTGCCATGGCAGCCTTCAATATCTGGTTGCAGCAGTCCCTACACTGCTGCAACTTCTTTCGTGCTTCAATGGACAACCCATTTGGTGGAACTTTTGGATAGGGTAGCCACCACTTCTCTTCCTGCCTAATTGAAGGCCTTCCACCGGGCATAAACCCCTTTCCATCATTGGAATCGTCCACAATTATCCCCCGGTCAACATAGCAAAACTCCGTCTCACAAAACCCATCAAGCATACTAAGCAGCATTGCGTCAAGCTTCTTTATGGCAGGTAGATTCACATACAAGTCAGAGCGTGGTCGCATTTCCATGACTTCGTATGTACCCCCACCCGGGAACTGTTGTATCGAAGGCACAAGCTCAACAATTGAATCACTCACACATAAGAGCCACTCCATCTCTCGTCGCCACATTGCCTTTCTCTGTGGTGCCAGTGGCTCTAACCTCCATAACTCACCAAAAACAGTTGCTGCCATTCCAACCCAGTGATTGAGTTCAGAAAACCGAAATTCCACATATAAAAATGAAAAGTCTCTGCCAAAATCACACAAGGGTGTACATATTCCAAGAGGATGTGACTAACCAGAAAGATTGGTGATGGCATTTGAGATAGCAAGGGCAGTGCAGACTCCTTTCCCTCCTCCAGACATATCTTCTCCAAGCAGAAGCTTAGCGAATCTCTCCTTCATCATTTCGACCTCTGCAACCATAAATTTTTTATAAAAAATTAATAAAAACTTTATATAAAAACAAAAACAAAAACAAAATAAATGGTCTTAAAATAGGACAGAGTCAGATCTCTACTAATAAGAAATAGGATAAGGATCAATTTGCTTCAGAATTGCCTCTTAGGTTTGGGAATTAAACTGGACAAGTACTTTTGAACACTACAGTTTTCTTAAGAATTTCTGTTTAGGCCTTAAATTCACTATCTACTCCTTTGTCCGCACTTTTCTCGGAAGCCAAACACTGAGCAAGAATCTCCTCAGAACCAAATTTAGAAACAAAATTAAAAACAAAAAGAAATAAAGTAAAAACAAAATCCAATACCAGACAAATCAGCGTCTCGTTTCTCCGGCTTCTCATCCCAAGCCACCACATCCTTTCCTCCGATCACCGGAAGCATAACCGGCGCCTGAAAACAAAAATTTCCGGGCACCTGACGCGGAGATGACGTCATCGAGCTCGAAGCCCCTTCCGCATCGAACCTCCGGCACGAGAAGCTGCTGCAACTCTCGGACTCGCTCACATCGGCGCTCAGACTATAACTCCCACACCGCTCCTCGCTCTGTTGGTCCGAGCCGTCCTCCGACGACGCACTCCCCATTGTCGTCCAAAAGATCCGGATGAACGTCCGTACAGTGCAGATCTCAGGCGCACATTCGTTACCGCGAAGCCTACCGCATAGGATAAAAGGAGATGAAGCACACTCTCGCGTGGTCTGAAGAATGTTGCAGAGAAGAGAATTTAGTGGTGGTGGTGATGGATAAAGCGATTTCAGGTTTGCTCAACAACCACTCTTTTACTCTT